AATTTTTTATCCCCACGGAATGAAACAGTACATATCATACCGGTAATCGCCGGAGGGAATGTACGTTTGATTGCTTAAATAAAGTGTTCTTGTCCGTGGAGAAATCTCGAATGCACGTTCGACTGAAGGAATTCCATGAGATATTACGGCACTGTATGCGGATGAAAAGAAAAATTGTAGACATTCGTTTGAACAGCGAACGGTTGTCAGATCGAAACATCAACCGGAAATTGATCAAGATCCATTTTGAATCTTGCGTTCAATCCCTCGTCCCATTTGAACCCCAAATTACCGTAATAAATGCATCATACGACATTTTGCAATTCTCTGATCGGTCAATCAGTCGTGAAACTTTTCCACCGCCAACGACAGCCAAGAAAATTCTCAACTCTACATTGATAACACCGTAATTCACAAAGCTTCATGAACTTTGATAATGGTTTGTAAAAAAAGAGTAGATCTCGAGTGAGGGTATCGAATGGCAACTAACGATTTCTATCTCCCTGGGGGTGAAACTTTCTCGAAACGGCGAGTCTCCACTTTCCGAAAGTTTGCCCGATCGTTGACACGGACACGTCGAATCCCCGGAGGCGATGTCAGTCTTCGAACTGGTTTCCTTCCGCAGGACAATTTTCCCTTCTCTGCATCACTCGTTCTTGTGTTTGTCTCTTTTTCATCCCCTCCTCCAACTGCTGTCACCCAGGTCGACGATCTATGGGTGAAAAAAAGTTGGTGAAACCAAGACGCTAGCTCTCCAATACCCGGGGATAGAATCCCACAAGGTAAATGGAGTTTCCCCTCCGTTGAACTGAACTGAATCTCCAGGAGAAAATCTCGAGGGTAGATTTCGATACTAGCTACAAATAGGGATATTAGTCGGGAGTATTATCTCGGATTAAAATATTTAACAGTGGGACGAGCCCCTCATTTTTTTACCGATTGAATGAAATGAGTAAAGCGGATGAAAAAAATTGGAATCGGAATTTTTTTTCAAATTTTTAAAAAAATTTTGGGAAAACTTTTCAGAAAATTTTTTTTATGAAATAAAAAAAAATTGGAAACACAATTTTATTTTTGGGACAGGTTTTGAAAAATGTTTAAAAATTTAAATAGGATTTTTTGAGAATATCGAAAAAAAAAATTAGTCACAAAAATTTCTAGAAAAATATTTAAAAAATTTTCCGAAACAAATTTTTGAAAAATTTCTCCAAACATTTCCCAAAAATAAAATTGTTTTATTTTCCGTTTTTTTTTTTCAAAACAAAAATATTCCGAAAAGTTTTTCAAAAATCTTTTACAAATTTGTAAAAAATATTCCGATTACATTTTTTTTCCCGGGCATTCCCATCACACATCCATGCAAAAATCGTAAGAAATGAATTTCGCCACTGCTTTAATCCAAATGTCTCCCCTAATCCGCGAAAATCTTCCGTCGCTATTTAACGGGAGAGTGAATAATAATTCAGCCATCGTGGAGCATTAAATATAAAATATCGCTTGAGAAGACATGATAATGGTACAGAAGTCGTTGACTGCATGAGAACCTCCCAGTGGAAATCCCAAAAAAGTATAAAACAGAAAAAAAAAAAACCCTGAAGAAGTGAAGAAAGGATCTATCTAACCTGTCCCTGTGGTGTTACGGCTTTTCCCTCTGCGTTCACGCCAGTGCCATTCTTTTTCTTTTTACGACCGACAAGACTAACTTACAACACCAACCACGGGATAACTCCGACTTAAAATGCCAATTAACGTTCATTCCTTTTTTTCCCTCTCCACTATCATCACAAAAAAGCCCAGGAAAGTCTCGTTATTTTTACGGATTGTAAAACAGAGGAGTTACAAATGTCCGTCGTAGGTTGGATGAAATTGAAAGAATATAATCTACCAGTTTGTTCGAAACTTTCCGAGTAACATTGATTTTTCCCTTTTAGACTACTGGACATTAAAAGTTGAAGTAGACTTCGTTAGTCAATCGCATTATTATTTCAATGGATTTCCACCCGAGGCAATTTTCCAGATCATCAACAATGAATGGTACGAGAGAGTGAGAAAACTTCATTCATTAATTATACTGCAGAATCCTCAGCTCTTTTCTCTCAGGCCAGAAGTTTTCACCCATTGAAGGAAAAAGTTACAGAATCATTCTTGGTGATGAGATTATTCTCGACATGGCAGGATTAATCCCTTCTGCAGTGTCTGATTCGAAATTGAAAAAGGTCTTGCTTCGTTAGGTTGATGATAATGCTGTTTGGTACTGAAAGGAGACAAATGAGATTTCTCTGGATCGAGGGTTTTTCGGTGCTTATCACCCGCGAATTCTGATGATCAATCTCGCGGTTAACCCCTGAAAATCTAAATTCGTTGAACACAAAATAACATTCCGCTGCGGATTATTATAAATTTGTAAAGAAACATTTGATTCTCATTTCATTTTTGTAATTCCCGTGCACTCAGACTGAACAATTAGCTTTGCAATAATGTAATACTCACCTGAGGAATAAACTCCGCTAATTATAACAGGGATCGTGCAATCATCTGACGGAAATCTTGAATTGTTGAGAACTCGGAATTTTCAAGTGGAATTTACCCCTCCGAGGACCCCGAGGGCGATCGATTATTGTTGTACGTCTTTCCCCAGTCGGTGAAGTTATCTCGAGGGATTAAACTCTCTATTAAGAAAACCCTCTTCGGTATCAGAATGGAGGGACATCATCTAGAATTCGCAAAGTGACTTGTACGAGGGAAAAACCAGGCATTTCACGAGATGAATTCTTCAGATTAAAAGAATTATTCAGGACATTTCAAGGTGGAGCTTGATAGTCCACGAAGGGTCGATCCAACGGGGAAATTCGACTCGGTATTCGGCTTGACAATGTCGGAGAGTAAACGAACCGGTGGAAATAGGTGGGTGGGAAAACAGAGACATCCAAAAGAGAATATCCGAGTAGTTGTAGACCTTGTTTACCTATTCTCCCTGGTCTGCTGTTCTGAATCGATTTCTGGATATAAACGAGAGGTATAGCATTCCACAGGATGAATTTTGTAGAAAGCCATTAAAAATGCGATAATATTGTTGTACGATTTAATTTATCCCTCGATTTTCGCGGGCCCTCCCGAAGGCCGAAGTCAAATAATTTCATAAACCACAATTACAATTTTTTTTTCTGTACATTCCCTCATCTTACGACAGCTAAGTCTCAAATAATGGGCTGACCCCGATCGGAGCTCCTGGTCGGAACAACTGACAGCGATAAAATAATCGTTTCACACGCAATTTCGATAATGGAAAAAAATTGTAATTGAGAGTACTTTCGCTCCCCTTAATCAAAAGTACTCATGCGTAATTGAATCGGTACTATTATTCTACATTGTCGTCCATGAATCAACGGTTCAATCGCACAGTTCACTACAAAACCCAGTTATTTGTCGACCAATTCTTTACATGGACCCCCAACCTTTTGAAAATTTATTATTTTCCGTCATAAACCGGCTACCGAATTCACAGCGATTTCCGTACAGCCTCATAATTCACACATGAAAAACCCGCCCACACGTTTTTTTTTGTCCAACCATTGAACGTAAGTCACCAATTGGCCGGAAATTAATCAATTCAAAAAGTAAACTAGAATAAAAATGACAAAATTTTGTCTGAATGGTTCTAGAAAATCGAGACGTTTCTAAGAGAGAATATTCTGCGATTGACACATTCCGTATTGATTCCCGCATGTATCGTTTATCCCTAGAAAGTAGAGGTGAACTGAAAAACCTAGAGGTGCACGTTAAAAAATTTCCTCAACTATAACGCGAAGATGAAGTGTCAGTTACGTACACGCGAAAATTGTTGTAACACGTGATGCACAAGTGCCAGCACTTGAGCTGTCTGACGTGATTGAGCCCTCGAAATCGTTTCCCCAACATCGTACGGATCTCAAAGTCAATAGCACGTCAGAGGATTGAAAAGATGAGTAAATCCAATTACTTCATCGCTTTCTGATTGACCGACGACTTTTTTTCAGGATATCTGGTAGAATATGATGAAAAAAGGAAAACATTGATGTGAGAAATAATTCATTCCAATATTCTGGTGATATAAATATAATCGAGAGATCACCATGGTGATGTACAATCGTGTTTCCGCCATTTTGACCCGGAAAAAGTGACATTTGCATTTTCACCAGAATGCATCCTCCCTCAGCTGCAAGAAATCTCGTTACTTACGTTCGAGAGCCTTGTACCCATCGTCTCACTTCTCCCTTCCTCGTCCTCATATCAGACCCACACCAAGTTGGTTCATTTCTTTTTACTCTCCAGTATCCTGCCAAACCATGAAAGCTTTACGATCCCAACTCAAATGCCACGATTTTCCATTTGCATTCAACCAAAGTGCACGAGAATAGAATGCACCAGATGAAAGCCAAGTGTTTCCAATAACTGATGTTTTATCCCCCTGGAAAATAAAAAAAAAAGGGCACATCGGAGAAGTAGTTCACTTAGTTTTATTGAAGAACAAAAGAGTCTTTCTTATTTTTATACCTTGACGATAGCACCAAACAGACTGCTACTTGTGATTTGCTCAATATCAGAGAGAAACCTCGAAAGTAAAGGTAGAATGAAAGATGGAAAAGTGGAGCAATCGTGAATTGATGCTCGTACAGCTGACTGCAGTGATGATGAATGAGCACTCGTGACCCACTGGGCCTGACCAACTGATCATCCGAATCAGTCCAAATGCTTGTGATAAAGAATCTGGGACTCGGTGGTTGGTCCTTTGAAGGGGATAATAGAAGGTCATCAGATTCAACGAGCAAAAGGAAAAGAGGAAAGTAAACAGAGGAAGCGATTGATCAATTGATCTGTGGATTTGGACGACTGAAATTGGATAAGAAGCAGTCGACAAGTTACAAAAGGTTCTTGCTAGTGTATTTTGTGTGAGACATTGGTTGTGGTGAAAGCTAGGGTTGAGGGTGATGTATCGTGGGGACGCGACTTGCCTCGATGACTGTGTACCAACGAGCATGAAGCAATCGTCGAGTCCGGGGGTCTTCGATGTTGCTATGGCACTGTTCGGTATGGTTTGGCTATTGCGCGTTAGGTCTGAGATGCGTCGATGCTCAAAGTGCAAACGCGATGAAATGGTTACGACACAACAGCATCCACATCATGGTCATCAGCATCGAGGCCATCAGCACAATCGTCCAACTTCAAGTCTTCTCCACACACCGGAGGATGGACTCACTGTGTCTTCGGCTAATACACTTTTTACACTTGATACACCTGGTGGTGCTGGACCTGCTGGCAGTTACTGCGAAGTACATGGTTACGTTGCACCTAAAGAAGGTATTTGTTTGAACGTTATCTTCATTTTTTTGGAACAGTCAAAAAATTTTGATTCTGTGAACTGTACGTACACATCGCCATTTTCCTTTACATTTCTAGAATACTTAACGGAAACTATTTCCATATGTGGAAAAAAATCGGAAATCAGCGAGAAATTTTTTATTCACACACCCAAAATCGAGTAAATCTCATGTTTTATGGATTCGGTCAGTCTTTCCGTTCATATTTATCATTTATTGATCGGTTACTTGCGTTTTCATAATCCATTTCAATATGGCTTCGCAAAAATGGATATTCATTACAAAACCGCATAATTTCCAAGAAATTCACTTGCAGATAATTCGCGCAAAGTTATTTATATCCTTTAATATTTCATGAGTCACAAGTCTTCGTACGTAAACTCATTAGTAATACGCTGTGACAATTCTCCGGATATGAAACCCTCTGCCCTCTCTGTCTCTCTAAAACTCGATAAAGCAGATTTACACCGCTCAGACTATCGACGGGGATTCCCCGACCGCACTTATGCGACCATCTGCATCATGTCCCCCAACCAGTTCTGCATACATCATGTCCTCCAAAATAATATACACTACCAGATGGCGTAACCTAACGAGATGTCGAGATATACATATACATCTCGGGAATATTCAACGACGAAATACAACTTTCGCACATGGTGCTATATCACAAGTCTAAAACACGTTTAATAAACTTGCTCCTCGAAATTTCTCACTCATCCCGGCTCCCAGTTATTTTCATTACACCACGAGTCAGTTTTATGAGATAGGGCTTATCAAAAGTTCCATGAACTTTCCAGATTGAATCACTTCTGCATTCCAAAAATTCTGCCCCCCCATCCGGCATTCTTCGATGTCTGACTACTTCTCAAATTGTTTCATTCGCTTTCATCTTCAATCAGCATGTGTTCATGAAGCAACCTTGCGCCGTCCTTGAGTGAGACTAGATAAAATTTACGGATAATTAGATTATCCGGGTAAATAAATCGAATGAGTCGAATGACTTCATACCAAAGTATCTCATTGATGAACGATTCGCGGGGATTTTGAATTAGTACTTAACGCGTTGAGAATAGGCCCCTGATGTCATCGCGTCTAGAGTGGGTTGAGTATAGACTAGAGTTGATGAAACTTTCTCATTGTCACACTGTAGTGCAGAAATATAGAATTTCATCTGTATACCAGTTGTGGCTGTCCTACCAGACTGACGAGTTGCCCCTTATCCGTTATAATAGAAGCACGTACTTCAGTCTGCGTTGCTATACCGTGGTACAGTTGCTGGGTGGTGCATTATGCGTGCTTGCTTTTGTTCAAACATTTACTACATTATCTCGAGAACACACAGAGGCATATCAGTGTCACGTGAAATGCCTGTGACACCTTCTGATGAGTCGTTGCGTACTAAAGAGGCATGGAATTGTCCTAGGATGCAATTCATACAGTTTGTGATGCAATTACGACAATTTTTTTTTGCATTCCCGTGGTAGATTTTGGATAACTCCTCGAGAAACGTGAGATTTCGCTTCATTAAAGAATTTGGTTCAAAGACACAGCACATCTCTCTCTGCTGCATCTAAAGAATTCATCCCTGAAGCCATCAAAATTATCTCAAAATGTTCCAGAGAACGGTTGAAAGACAATGAACATCAGAAGTACGGAAAATTGTGTCGCCCACTTCTGGTGCGAACTAAGTTGAGAATTTTACATTATCTAGAACTTTTGGTAGCCGAGCATTAACAAACCCGATGCATTTAGCTCTTCCAACATGAGACTCTCTCCGAACCTTGCGTGTAGAGTTGCTTTCTGAAACAGGTACGTGCAGATTTGACAAAACGTCTCCAAAGTTTTCAACTTGTTTGCAAGTTGTAGGTGGTAATATCCAGAGCTTACCGAGTAAAAAGTCCAATAAAATTCTGGCAATTCTCCGGGAATTCCCTTTGAATCCACCAATGGCGCTGTTCATTCTCATAATCCTTTGATAGCTCATTGACTCTCCATCGTATCCAAAAATTTCAAAACGCACTCTGTATGCTTTTTCGAATTTGGATCTAAGTACGGTGATAACGATCCAGACGTACCGACTCCCAAAATGCGAATTCAACTCACGTTTTTTATCTCACATATACCTTTATATGTATCACCCTCCATCTGCCTGGTCAGTTGCACTTCGTTCCCTCCAGTTGTAAAATAGTTTTTACCAGCCAACACCGCAAGAAGCCAAATGTACACTCCGTGCTTTAAAGCTGAAAGCATGTTCGTGTCGAGGTGGTCCCAGGCGCTGTAATATTACCCACTGAGTTTATTACGAAATGACGCTGACCTGACTCAGTACTACCCTTTCCCATCCACTCCTGCAATACAATATCAAAACAGCTGTGTTACATCGTCGATTGAAGGCCACTGAATTTTTTAATTAAAAATTCTCAAGATTTATTTATGGAAAATCCAAAGAAAACTCTATTTTAAGAAATGAGAAATTCATTGGGATTGCTTCATGAGAAATTAACATGCCAACATGGATAATATGTCTGAAAGATTCTCATTTGCTCTGAGAAATAAATGAATTTCTCGTTCCAGAGATAATCAGACCCTTCACTTGTTACCGGTGGATAAGTCAATGTCTCAACTTCAATTACCTCGACTTTTAATTTTTATGACTCGGACCAAATCATGGCTCACGATAATTCCATCTGAATAATTATACGGAGTAATAAAAGTATCACGTGACACGAATTTATCACGAGAATTCATCCTCAAGGGAGAATTTAGAAATTACCATTTACCCTGTCTCAAACAAAAGATGAAAAACGCACGCTGGAAAATGTACACCGGACGTTTATTGCCGAGAAACGATCCCAGAACCCGGTACGTGTATATATTCTCAGAGTCTAGCAATAAATGTCTGCGTCTAGATTGTCGAGCCCAGGGGGCTCTCGATTAGTCAACGAAACCGCTTGCACCCTCCACGGAGTGCTACAATTTTCACCGCCTGTTAGAATCGGTTTTACGTCGGCAACTTTACCAGAAGAGTGTCGCAGTAAATAGTGGAGAATTAGAGAAAAAGTTTTTCCATTGTGTTTTATTTTTTTTCCCGCATTTTTTCCATCTACCTTTGTCCCACGAGTTTTTCACAATCGTTTTCTGGATGATACCAACACACAAGAGTTTTAATTGGCGCAGCACAACCGACCCGACGACATTGCGGTTATTGTTCTGCAATTTTTCCTTTTTTTATCGCTGAAATTCTTACCCACTTTTTTTTGGCGTTACAATGGCCGACAAAAATTTACGCATAACTATTTTTACCTTCCTTTTCCCATTCCCCGTGGATGGGTAGCTTAGTGAATGTTGTAAATTGGAGGGGTAAAGCACCCGGTGGAGAGTGAGGAAAACAGCAAAAACAATGGGTAAGTGGGTGAGAGGGTGGAAAGTGGCATGAGTATTGCGACTTGAGTTGGGGTAATTACCTGTACTTAGCTGCACGTACGATGCAGCAACTGAAAGCTTACACGATAAATCGCCAGTTTCTGCTCTGTTAAGAATTATCTGCTCGGGTTTTGGAGTCGGAAAATTTAGCCCTTCACGCGGTGGATAATTATTCATGATAGTAGTGAAGCGAAGAATTTTAGGGGTGAGTTTGTTGATGTAAAATAAGGTGGGGATTGCTCATTGTGGGTGGAGGTAATTTATTCATGGACTACGGGACGGGGGTATTGATTTTTTTTTTTTTGTTTGAGAGGACCGGAGCGTAATTATGAAGAATTAATTAGCATATTGAGGAAGGCGCGAGGTAGATCGGCGTTTTTCATTTACAAACAGTCAAACTAATTAAGAATGCAATTAGGGTTTTGATTGGTCGAAATAGCGATGGGTGTAAATCTGGTTTAATCTCATTTCAAATCTTCAGGTAGTTTTCGAGATTTTCCTGGTATGAAGAACTGGGAAGAGTCATGGGATGTTTCTTTCACTGTAGAATTTGATTGCGCAAACATGTCCTGTAAAATGTTTACGAGTCTTGAAGAAAATAGAGGGAGTATAAAACATTTTCATGATGATGAAGCCCGTAAGTAGAAACGGCACGGCATTGGTCAGCCACTCTGTAACATGTGATACGTGAGTACTTCAGGGATGTCCTGAGGTTCATTTGTCGTAAGTACTCGTTCTGGTTCGTGAAAATGTATAAGAAAAAAGGAGAATCGGTCGTGTCTTGTTTCTGCCAGATAAAAGACAATTGGAAATGGGTCCTGGGGCCGTTCCAATCCATTTGCGTCGCTCTCGCTTCACCAGAGGTAAAATTCATTCACTCTGCGGAATCGAAGTAGTTGAGTCATGCCTCAATGGATTGGCCGAATGTTCGTGATCCCTGAAAATACATAACGTTTTTCTCAGTTAATTATTACCTTCAGACATTATCCTGAATATCCCCCAGAGAGAAAATTTCATGATTGTGCGAAATTTTAATGGATAGCTCACCTTTAAATGGCATGAGATTTTTCCTTCTTCTGGAGCACACGTTTTAGAACAATTATACTAATTAAGTAAATCAAAGATTGATTTATTCAAAATGAAAAATCATCGCTCCGGTGATATCATCAAATTTCGGTTGCTTCTCTCTTCATTACCATGAATATGTCAAGCCATAACTGAGATGCCCTACAACCGTTCCATACGTGAGTAATGATCGCTATCCACTGAAGCTTCTCCACCCCCGTAAGTTGATACGAATAAATACCTCATCCTGCAGTGGACGGAAAGGGTCCGATAATAAATATGAAGGAGGTGATAAATGATGAGTCCCGTAACCTCGAGATATCCCCCCGATAATTTATCTTACTCGTTCAAGTGCCACTGGGTGAATTCGCGTTTGAGTTTTTTTTTTTAATTAAAAAAAATAGATCCTGGTATGGGTATGGGTTTTTGGAGAGAATAGCATCAGATTAGGACAGCCGATGAGATTTTACGCCCCATGTGTACGGACAT